GAAATTGAATGTGTATCAACTAGGAACTACGACCTCATTGTGAGACTATTAGGATAACTATTATAAATAAATTAGCTTAATTAATGTAGCTGATAAAAAATGGAGAACCAAGACAATAGTTTTGTTTAATTATGTTTATTCATTTAATACACTTTATTTATCGTCAAGGATAATGTGAAATAAGGCCTCTATATTGAAGTAAATGTAGCTGATTTTCATCCTGTATTTGGTCAAAAAGGTTTTTCGGTTGTTATGGTGGTACTAAAAAAATATTTGAAAATGAATCTATTAATGTAGTTACCTTCAAATTTAAAGAGTTGCAAATATTTAAGGCTGTAACAAACACGTATTTTCTGTCGTAGATAACTCTTAGCCAATTTGGATAGACTGGCATCCTTATGGCAGTCTCCCTTCCTTTTCCCATGTCCCGAATATCATTCGTTTACTGCACCACTTCATTTTTCTTTTGTATCAGAAATCATGTCACTTGTCCATCGATATTTTAACTAATCTATTCTAGACAATTTCTGTTTAACCATCAAATTCTACTTCTTACAAGAAATATACCCTATTTAAGAACGTATCAAAAAGAAGTAAGACGAGAAATTAAACTAACAAAAATCCAATCAAAAAGTCAATAATTTCAAGGAATCAATATAAAAAGATATAAAATTTATAATACAAAATGCATATAATAGAATTACCAAGATAACATTTTATGTTTTTTAAATAAAAATGAACTATTAAATAGTTGCTTAAAAAATAATTTATTACTTAGTTATATGTTTGGAACACGTTGGTACATCATGTACATACTGTTCATCGTAATATTGTCGAGTCAATGCTCTGGCAAAAGACAACCATTGAGAGTTTATGGTGGAGAAGACGCGGACCAAGGAGCTTATCCGTATGTTGTTCGCCTTGAAATCAGGCATATAAATAAGATAGCTAATGGCAGTATATATGGTAGACACACGCATCTGTGCACGGCGTCTGCTCTGTCGCCAACATGGGCAGTCACAGCGGCTCACTGCTTAACAGAATTACACGTGTATATTGAAGGATTACACAATAAGCTAGTGATAAGGTATGGTTCCGTTTATAATTCACTTAAAGAAAACAATACATTCAGTCATGTTGTTTCAGTGATTCCGCATCCTATGTATTTGTCTCGAATTACGAATATGGGTTTTGTTGTAAAAATGATATTGGCCTTATAAAAACAAATCCTATGCCATTAAAGAGGTTTATTAAATTAAGTCCTGTAGATTTTCACACTTTATATGGTCATGAAGCGATATTCGGTGGTTTTGGGGTCACGACGAAAAAAGTACCCTAGACTTAAAAAAAGTGTTACAAATATTTAAGGTGGTAATAAATAAATGCATGCACACACCGGGATTAGGGCCGTTGTTATGTTTAGGTCATCGCTGTGGAACTATTGCTACTGTATGTGGTGGGGACTCCGGGGGCCCTGTCATCCATGCATCAGGCATAGTTGCAGTACTATCCTCTGGTTATGATAACATATATTGCGGAGATGAAACAAAAAATCAAATGATTGAAAGCGCAGGATTCCCTTGTCCAGTTGGTCCCTATGTCGAATGGATTACTAGTTATGTATGAAATTAAACGTGTATCTACTCGAAACTGTAATACTTCGATTTTTTAATAATTGTGTTCCGAGACTTTTGGTATAATTATGTAAATACATGTCTGTATGGTGTCAAAAGTGAATCATATCAAAGAAGTTTCACTAAATGTGAGAGGGTAAAATCTTATGTAAGAAATTAACGTGTTTATTAAACGGAAATATGTCGAACTAGTTTTTATGAATTTTTTATTACTCCCACTTTACTTAACGATAAGAATTATATAGATCCAAGAAAGAGCGACCTTCCCTTTAAAGGCAATATAAAATATAATACAAATTCACATTCCCTATGCTTGTTGCAATTTCAGTTTGTCCATCTGTCTGATCTCAAATCCACGTTTGTTCTTAGTAATCTCCAAATGGCTCGAGCCATTGCAACGAGACCTTGACTGGCAGGTAACTGATGTGTGGAAGTAACATACTATTTTTGTGTAATTCCGCGTTGACGAAATTGCGACCGACCGCTCGTTGTTATGGTACATAAAAATAAACGCGTTACTTATAGACTTTCATGTCATGTTTGAACAAAAATCGATTTTGGGCGGTTTTGGTAGTGCTGTTTAAAAATATACCTGAATGGGGAATCTTTTATTGAAGTTATTCACAAAGAAAAAATTCTCTAACTTTAGATTTCACTCATCACTTATACAATAAATATATTCCATTAAACCTGTTACTAAAAATGTACCACATTTAGGAACATCCCAAATAGGTGTGTGTAATACGACAAATCGTAGTAACAAGAATTCTGGTCAGGAACCAAAATCATTTGAAGGAATCAATATACGATAAAATATGAAAATAAAAAACTCATATTATAGAATTGAATTACCATGATAATACTTTATGTCTTTAAATAAAATAAATCTGTTACACAGAATTCTCAAAGTAGAATTTAATATATTGTTACATGTTTGGAACACTTTGGTACACGATGTACGTACTATTCATTGTTATGTTGTCGAATCAATGTTCTGGCAAAAGACAACCATTGAGAGTTTATGGAGGAGAAGACGCGGAACAAGGAGCTTATCCGTATGTTGTTCGCCTTGAACTCCGGAATAGGAAGAAGATGGCCAATGGCAGTATATTTGATAAGCAACAGCATGTGTGCACTGCGTCTGCTCTGTCATCAACGTGGGCGGTCACAGCGGCTCACTGCATAACTAATCTAAACAAATACCCTAAAGGAGTCCTACCTGATAGACTAGTGATAAGGTATGGTTCTGTTCATAGTTTACCAAATGATAAGAATACATTCGGTCAAGTTGTTTCAGTGATTCCGCATCCTATGTATGCATTTCGACAAATTAGTCAATATTTTGTTATGAAAAATGACATTGGCCTTATAAAAACAAATCCTATGCCATTAAAGAGGTTTATTAAATTGAGTCCTGTAGATTTTCACACTTTGTATGGCCATGAAGCGGTATTCGGTGGTTTTGGGATCACTACGAAAAAAAAATC